TTGCAATGAACGACTTACAAAATGTTTATGTCAGAATTTGAAAATATGAATACCACGTGAAATAATTCCAAAATATCAATAGCTGAACAAGCTATCTGCTTTTATAATAACCATGCATTTCCTTCGTGATTAGTTTTCTTTAGGTAAGTAATTGCTAAAACAATCTCATAGAATACTTGCATACTAGCTGAATACTTGCATTTGATTCTTACTTATACATTTAATATTTGCACTTGCAATCTAGGACAAGTATTGGTCTTGCATAAATAATGCTTATAGAAATATCAGAACTCTTAAAAGCAATATTTTTATTTAATTAACAGAAAACAATTTAAAAAGATGATTTTTCAAAACACGTATGGTCAACTTGTCAGAAATATTTGAGGACGCTATTATTTGATCAAGCTATCTGCTTTATTATAACCATGCATTTTCTTCTGGTTTAGTTTTCTTGATGTAATTACTTGCTAAAACAATCTCATAGACTAGCTGAATACTTGCATTTGATTCTTACTTATACATTTAATATTTGCTCTTGCAATCTAGAACAATTATTGGTCTCGCATAAATAATGCTCATGGAACAATCAGAATGCTTAATAGTAATATTTTTATTTAATTAACAGAAAACAACAGAAAAATAAGTAATTGCTAAAGCAATCTCATAGAAGATATTACTAGCTGAATACTTGCATTTGATTCTTACTTATGCATTTAATACTTGCACTTACAATCTAGAACGACTATTGGTTTCGCATAAATAATGCTTATGGAACAATCAGAACTCTAAAGAGCAATGTTTTCATTTAATTAACAGAAAAAGAAGAAAATGATTTTTCAACGCAAGTATGTCAGAAATATTTGGGGACGATATTATTTTTGTTTCGATTTGAAAGGGAGGAATCTCTTTTCGTCGCCTGAGATTAGATCGAAAGCATCAAGAGATAAATAGAGTGAGATGGACAAGATTTCTCCGGAAATGTCTTCTTCCCCTTCTAGCTTAAAAGGGGTTGCCCGAGATACGATTGGCGCCAAAAGGTGGGGATTCGTGATATACAGCCAATGAAAGATTCCTTCTGTCTTCGCCAAAAACTTTCTATTTATTAAGATCGATGAATTCATTCGAATTTTGGTAAATAAATTTAAGCGACGTACGATCAACCAAACATCAATTCCAATACTAAATTATCTAATGAAGCTTTCAGCCGACATTTTCAATAAGCCACTATAGTCCCTAGTCAAATTATTAGACGCACTGTAAGATTCTATGTAAAGTCTTAATTATCAGGGGATACTATACAGCTTTATCGTTTTTACACGGTTGGCACTTGTTTACGTTCATGCAGCAATTGATTCACATTGTAATGCAATACATTAAAAACAAATACAAATAGGAAGTATATGAAAATATCTTCTGAATCAAAACCCCATTACATGTATGTTTAGCTATAAAAGTATTGCCTATAAACTCGTACAAAACATGTAATTAATAAAACACTTCAGTGCTTCTAATCATTTGGTCTAATTATTATAATATACTAATATAATACCTGATATAATAATTATTCTATATTTACATAATATATCGTCTAATTTAAACAATCGTCAAATTTACATTACATATGGTCTAATTTAATTAATTAATACACGACTGTAAACAAGTGAAAGCCGGTTTCGGTTACGTAAAAGCAATAAAGCTGTATAGTATCACTTGATAATTAAGATTTTACATAGAATCTTATAGTGCGTTTAATAATTTGACCATAGACTGTATATTCCGTGACATGTTGATGCGAAAATTGAATATTAGCTACATTTCGCTTTTATCAATCAAAACTGGCTGTTTCTTTACAGTTAAAGTATGTACATATTGTTGAACTATTTATACCAACACGAAACTAAACTTTATTTGCTGCAAATAAATGCTTAAATTTAAGCGACTGAGTCAGAAAAAATTTATTGAAGGAAAGTGGGTTTTTTTTTTTTTTTTTAACTGAAATATTTTTATTTACGTTGTTGTGTTTTGGATTACGTGAGTTTAAGATATAAATTAAAAGAACTGCATATAGTTTTGAGTTAATTGTTTTTCTGCACACATTTTTATTACTAAATTGATTTAAAACTATGATAGATGTAATAACAAAATACGTCTTTCATCACGCTAACTTTAGAAACTAAACTGAATTTAAAACTTGATATATATCGACTTTCAATTCAGCCAATGTTTTTTAAGAGTTTTTGTCACGGCAGTTTCTCTTTTCGTTTGTGATTTGCGTTAAATTCAAAACAGTATTGAACTTTCATCACCTGCAACTATAGCAATGTACTATTATTTAATGTGTCCTAAAGTTTTAACAGCATTTTTCGAGCCTCTTTTTCCAAAAAAAATAAATATATAAAGCTCACAGCTTACAGTCCCTGGCCAAATTATTAGACGTACTATAAGATTCTATGTATAATCTTAAATTATCACGTGATACTATACAGCTTTATTGTATTTACGTAACCGAAACCGGTTTGTACTTGTTTACGTTCGTGTATCAATTGGTTAAACCTGACGATATATAATATAAATTCCACGATTGGATACATTAGACGATATATTATATAGATATAGAATAATTATTACATCAGGTATTATATTAGTATATAATAATAATTATAACAAATGATTACACGCACTGTAGTTTTTTATTAATTACATGTTTTGCACGAGATTATAGGCCATACTTTTGTATTTAAACACACATGTAAATGGATTTTATATACTACATGTTTTATATACACCCAATGAAAAAAGCACCTTTAAGCACTTTTTAATAACTCTGCCCACCCTGTGTATTATAGTATCTTCAGATAATTAAGATTATACATAGAATCTTTTAGTGCGTCTATTAATTTGGACAGGCACTGTAACTGGTGCCAAGGTAAAATTGCTTCTGGGGTATGCTCGCCAAAAGGGGCGATCCAGTCCGAATCTTAGTCCACGGATCTCCGTCTTTCTGAAAGGATAAAATCAAACTGACCCTAAGCCCCATCTCCCTGGATTCTATTTCTTTTCCGGAACTGCAAATGATTACCTGGAACCAAATAGAAGTAATCAAAGCTCGAACAGAAGGAAACCTAGAATACATATGAGACACAAGGTTAACTGTAAGGATGGGTGGAAAAAATTCTTTTTTTATTTCTTTTCTTTTTTCCTGTGAGTCCTTTTCTTACAATACAGTCTCCTCCCTGATAGGTGGTGGATTTTATTTTCCTCTTACATTTTTATCAGGTTTTTTTTTTTTTCTTCTTTTCCTGTTTTTTGTGTGCCTCCTTTCACATTCGATCTCTGATTGAAGTTTTCCTGAGAATTGTATTCCTGGAATAAAAATTAGGATTTGAGGGATACACTAGGTGTGGTTGAATGTATAAAGAAGAAAAGTTTCGCAAAGGATTTAATTTAGTGTAAGACGTTCTTTGATGGAAGGATTTGTTTTGAGCGTTTTTTTTTTAAAATCAATATTGATGACGTGCAGATTTTTTAATTAAATGAATTTTATTGAACTACCCTTAACACTGTATGGGATTATTTTCTAACGCAGTTATAATATTATGGGTCAATATTAAAGTGAGATATAGGGCCGTGTTTTAATACAGAATATTGACTTCGAATTTCCTCGTTTTAACGATATTATATATACTCATGCCTATAGGGCCACATAGTGTGCTCCCTATTAGGATTATAATTATTTCCTCTGTTAGGGTACACTAGTACCCGGTAATAAAATACGTGATCCAGTATAAATATTATTGGTCAATATTAAGGGGAACATTATTTTCACTCCTTGCAATGAACAGTGGACGAAAAAGAATAACTTTTGATTTGATGATCGGATTATCACGTATACATACATACATTTAATGATACTGATTCGTGGGCCTAATCTTTAATATATTAATTATTTAGTGCATGTGATATTTTGAAATCCGACATACATCTGAATATAATCATACCCTTTTTTTCGACTGATCCTTAAAATATCCAGTCGCAATCAGAGAAATAGGTTCCCAATAATTTTTGTAGGAGACGATTCCTTCAATGTTTATTTCACTTTTTGTCCATATCTCGAGAACTCTAAAAACAAATTGAAAATTTTTTTGCACTATTAAATAATTTCGTTTATCCTTACATGATTCCATAAAAAAATAATTTTGAATATTTACTTATTATTTTATTTAATTATGTTTGAAAAAGTTTGACTTCTTGCGTTCAGAAATTTTTACATTAATTGAAAGATTGTAATTTCAAATGATAAAAATGCAAAATTTGATCAAATTTAAAAATTTTATTTCTCGAGATATATTTGCATTTGGCCATTGCAAATAAAATATGTTTTCCTTTTTTAAAGAGAGGAAAAAAAGAGAGAGACATAAAGAATTATGCAATTATTACTCCTTTCCAACTTATTTAACTCGTATCTTATTTTATAACCATCATCGAACAGTCGATCCAATTTTGGGCTTTAAACTACCATTTCTCAACTCCGTAGCCTTGTAATTTTGAACCCAATCCGGAAGACAAGGGAACTCCTGGATCAAGTATTGGATGACAAGTATTGGCCTTCGTGGGGGACTTTTTGATCAAACTAACCCTCATTTGCGGAGAGGAAACGATGAAAATCTCCCACGGTTAGCCCAACTGCAAGGGGACTCTAACCCAAGCTCAGTCAGCCACTGAGGATATTTCACGTCAGCACTGTGGTCGGTGCAAGCCGGATGGGGAATTCGTATCTATCAACCATCGCTGGGATTCGAACCCAGTTCACCTCATTGGGACGCGAATGTTCTATCCCCTAATAAGTTGAATGCATCAGTCTTTTCCACCTGATAATTACCATGTCCACCTGATAATAACCATTCCCACCTGATAATTAACTTTTAATGCTCAAACTTTTTTGACTTACGTGTATGTGACTTATTGCTTGCATTCACTCTGAATATTGTTTATTATTTCAGGAGGTGATTCTGATTGTGAAGGTGATGCTAGTTCGACGAGTGGCAGTCAAGGGAAGAGACGGCGGACGAGAACAAACTTCAACGGATGGCAGTTAGAGGAACTAGAGAAAGCGTTCGAAGCATCCCACTATCCCGACGTATTCATGAGGGAAGCACTTGCCATGAGGCTGGACCTCGTGGAATCACGGGTACAGGTAAGGAGAACATTCATTTATGTCAGAATTCGTTGGGAGAGAATATTTATTTTCTAATACAGATTCCCGATATCTCAAAAATGAAGGGACGCTAAAAAAAAATTTTCACGATAGCGAGATAACAAGTTTAGAACTGAATATGTTCTAAAAAGTAGAAAAAATATATTCTGAAATATTATTCTAAGAAGTAGAGTCATGAAACATAAGAATGACTACAAAGAAATATGTACGTAATAACGATGGTTAACTATCATCATTACGTACATATTTCTCAAATTGTTTTTTTTTTTCATATACTAAATGCAATAATGATCATTTTATTTTTAAAAGTAAGACGTAAATAATTACGCATTAAATAGAAAATAATTGATTCACATTGTGATATTTTTGTAAAATTTCTATTTCGATAAAAAAAATTCGACATAGAGAAGAATCCCTTCTACGTAGGAATTCAAATTAACATTAGGTGGAAAAGTAATGACTAGGGGAAAAATATTTTTTGACATAACAAAGTTTTCGAGATATCGAGAGCATACTCTACTAAATAGCAAGCAGGACTCACGAAGTTACAAATAATCACTAAGTCCACTCACTAAGTAACTAGAATACAGTTACTTAGATGTAACACTATAAAAAGCGTTACTGAGTACCTAGCAAAGATACTAAGTGACGCAATAGAGGCCGTTCAACTATTATGTGAGCACTTATGTGATTCGCTTCCATATCATCGATTGAATATCGTCTGCACTAACTAATTAACATATTTGAGGTCACCCTTTCGAACCATTAAGAATGAGTCTTTGAACGCGAAGATCTGATCATGAGATCATAAGTTATTTAGAGGGGGTCATTCTTTCTTTTCTTTTTTTGAGCACAGTATTATTCTTTTTTTTTTTCCATCTTGCTGAATGACAAAGTAAAAGTTATTTTGTAAATTATTTTAGTATATATTTTCCGTGCTAAAAAATTGAAATTCTAATTTTCCCTTTTAAATAGTTACATTATGACGGCGAATAAAGTCGAAGGTCAAACATTTTTTAGATTTGTGACGCATTTTGATATTTAGTTTTATCTTTATATATTTAAAAAATATTTCTTATATTTCAATTTCTTTGACGATTTTACAAAAAAATTTTCTATTAAAAGTTGTTTCAGGTAGTTACATAATTTTTACGAATTTAATCGTGCGTGCAAAATATTTTAGTATCTTTTTTTTTCTCCTTGAAATAAATAATTTGTTTTTATTTGTTTAATAATAATTTGTTTATAAATCTTTTCTTCCTTCAAATTAAATAATTTGAAGGGGGGGAAAAGAGAATTAAATTATAATTATTATTACTTTTTTTGCATTTTTTCGCAAAAAGTATGTACATTAAAATAATATCTGCGTAAATAATGTAAGTCTGAAAAAGCTGTACATTGATGCTTTTTTGAGGAAAACAAAACCCCTAGACACCTTAATAAATATTCGCCCCCCCCCCTCCCCAATAGAGCGAGACTTACTTAATGTATTTTTAAGACGTTCATACCGTTTTATGCTACCCTAAGAAATAAAAAAGAAGAAATATTAAAAAAAAAATTATGTCAGTTCCTACTTAGATCAACAAAGCAAGATTTTATTTTAGTTACTTTTTTTTAAATAACTAGTGGGCTGCGCCCCCTGCTCGCTAACGCTCGCCAACCCCCGAAAATTGCTACGCAAACCAAGCTCGCTACTAACTTAGGTACATTTCAAATGCACAAAATTCTAAGAATTCAAAACAATCATTCAAATCGATATAAAAAAAAATTTTATAAAAAAATTACATCTTTTTAGTAAATACTAAGTCGTTAAAATAAATTTGAATTCGTTAATAATATAATTCGTTAAACCTTGTAATTCGTTAAACCTATTAGAAATTTGCTATAGTACAATTCGTGATCCAAATCAAAAATCGCCAAATAAATTCGTAATATATAAATTCGTGAAAAAAAGCACTTTCGACCAAATACTAAAATAGAGATCTATCGACAAAGACTACTCACTTCTGCCTAGCTTAATAGTATGAGATTGCCGCAGCTGATGCTCTCTGGTTATTTCAGTTTCCGTTTTTAAAAGAGTTATATGTTGAGCCACCTCAGCTAGATTTGGCATGTGACATTTTTAGCGGCAATCATTGGTCGATTCGCAGTGTAAGAGAAATAGTAACGTAAACAAAACAAAGCAAACGTTGCCACCGGCGGGAAAGAAATACAGCCAAAATTTGGGAGCCACCTAAGAGAATTATATATATTAGATTAAAAAAATTTCTCCCACATAGAACTAAAATTAATTAATTACATATAATGAATGAATTAATATTTGAAACAGACTGTATTAACATCAAGTGTCATCCACTGCAAGTTTGAAAAAAATTTATTTTAGGAAGTGGATGATAAAAAAGGAGTTTATTAACTACTGAAAATTTGAACAAGATATAGGGAGAGTTGTGAACTAATAGTAGGAATTTTTTTTAAAAAAAAAGAGAGAAAAAGATATCTAACTTTTTTCGAGGTGAATAGTATCTCAATAAAATCTGACATTTTAAATCGAGACTACGTGTTATAAGAATGACGTATGTCTGGTTATCAGAAAAAGAAAGAGGCGACAGTTCCGTTTATTTTTCTGACAATTCTTGTTCGAATGAGAATTATTCAAAAGGAATAACCCCGGGTGGTAGAGAGAATCTTGTTTATAAGACCTCTTATTTTATTCCAACTTTTATCAGCTTATTATCGGAGAATCTTTTTTATCTACATCAAATAGAAATGCCGTAGCATTAAACTTATCGAAATACAGTCGGACCTCTATTTAACGAAGTCACTAATTCCTGATCAAAAGTTCCTTATGTGGAAAATTCGTTAAACAGAAAATCTCCATTTGAAATACTTGAACAACACAAAACAGGTTTTAAATTCATGAACACTAGACATAATTAAAATACCGATTGAAACATCGTTATCTTGTAAACTAGTATCTACTATCGAATTGATTCAAATGATTTTAAGATTTCATCATATGAAGGTTTGGTGATTTCTTCATCATTTCCGTCTTCCTCAGAATTTATTTTTGTGTTGTTTTTACTTTTCACGCCGTTCAAAATATCCGATTCAGTTAATGTTTCTGTGGTTGCAGCTTCAGAATCAATAAAAAAGAAAATCATTAATCAGTACATCATCGTTAATTTCGTGGCTCTCTCTTAGCTGTAGCCAGATTTTTTCGAAGTTCTTCTGAAGGAATATCATCCTCGTCTTCCGTGCTGAATAAGAATCCAGGTTTAGCAAAACTGTTACGAATGGTACGATCTGTAACATCATAGTTCCATGCTTTAGAAATTTCTGTTATGCTTTCTCGCAAATTGATATTTGGCATGGATTCCTGTATGAAATGCAAACAAAAATGGAAAGGGATTTTACTGCTTTCTCTAAAAGTTAAGTGGCTTCGAAACTTAATTCAAGGTCATTTCCCCCATGAAATACGTTAACAAGTTTAAAATGTTCTGAGATGTTTTGGGGAATAGGGAAAGTGGCTCTCAAAGAAATGTTCGATATTTAGAAGTTATTTTTCGAAGAAATTTCCAAAATGTTCTTGGTTCCTCAAAAAAAAAGAAAGAAAGAAAAAAATTAAAAATAGATAAATTCTCAAAAACTGGAAGGTCGTTAATTAGAAGTCCGACTTGATAAATTAATTTTAAAGCTGTACAAAAAGCGTTAAAAAAATTTTGGAAAGCAGATTTGCGCCTAACTCTTTAAAATAAAATTTTTAATTTTGTCATGCCTGCAGTCTGTGAGCTGTGGCTCATCATCTTTGCCATGAATTTACGTAATATTGAAAACTCTCAAATATTTGTCTAAACTGCTTTCTCTTTCGCGTCTTCTGGGTGCATATCTCTAAAATTTGTTTTAATCTACTTTTAAAACCGCAAACTAAGGTGAAAGCAAGATAGAAAGTCCTAGGGCCCATGATTGTTGAGTGGTCGGTCAGAATTCCTTTAAAATTAATTACGCTGAACCTTTTAAAAATACATCAGTGTAAGGTATACCAGGCAGTGTCACTTAACTAGATACTTTAATATATTTCGAACATCTACCGAAGCGACTATGGGATTGTCAACATTCACACGTGGAAGTCAAAAACCACTTTATGCAGCTTTTATGCGCCGTAAATGAAGTACTACTCTTCATTTCGAAAAATAAAGCAAAAGAACGTGAATAAAGCATAAAATGAAGAAATGGACATACTATAGTTTCGGATTCTATAAAACACGAATCTTCTTCAGTTTCTGAACGCAAATCATTTTCTGATAAGACGATGGGTTTTATAGATGTTTGTTTTATAGAAGCGAAACTTTAGTATGTCCATTTCTATATTTTTCTTAATGTTTTATTCGCATTTGTTTTATTTTTTTTTTTTTACATTGCACAAAGTATTAGACTCTATCGTCTTTTCAAGTTAAGCGTGCTTTGCAATTTTTTTTATATTTAATAACCAGTTTACGCTCTTTCTCTTTTTGAATAACTTTACTTTATTTTTGCATACGACACCTGTTGTTTTCAATTTTGGGAACATTTTTGGCATAATTTAGTGCCTCCTATCATTTCGTAATATTTTTGGCGCTTTTCTTTTAAACCTGCCGAGCTTTCGAGTATGAATAGCGCCAAAGGCGATGGAGACATTATAAACTTTGACCACGAAAGTAATACTTGTCAAACAAAAAAAGAACAACACAAAAAACAGTATCTTTTTCAAGTAGATGCGATCTTATAGAAAATTCATTTCAGTTTTTTTTTTCTGACTCCATCCCCCCTACCGAGTAGACTCGGCACTCCAGGCCGCCCCTGTCAATCGCTCTTGTATATATTTTCTTTACGCATCAGCTTTGACCCGACCCCCTGCTACCCTACTTCACTCCTATTAAAGATGTCTTACTTACAAGTGCTATTTTCACCTTTGAATGTGACAAAACGCAATAACTTCTGCA